GCCAGCAAGCCACTCCCACCCAGTCACATGGCCAGCAAGCCACTCCCACAAAGCAGGCCACACCTGCTTTAGAAGAGGTTCTAAAAATTTTTGAAACCCACCACTGGAACAAGAAATCTGCTTAAGAGTCATGGCATTTCACAATGGAGAACACTTTTTAAGTCAGGCAAATTGCTCCAGATCCCAACAGGCAATGCTGATGAGAATTTATGAATGATTCCCATAACCCCCACCCCATTGGTTTGGTTTTTTTTTTTACTAGCAATACTGCTGGGGCACAAGGGACTTACAATCAAATATCTGGGACTGTCAGAAAAATCTGAATCGGATGCATTAAAAATCACACATACTTACAGCAATTGGAAAATAATTAACCCCATACATCTCCAAATCTTGTGCTATTTTAAGATAGTTCATCTCAGCTTCATATCTAGAAGAATGGAATATTTATTTTAAAAAAAGACTTGGAAAGGATTGTTCTTGTTTTATAAAGAAAACATGTTGATCTATATTACTGTCACCCCTAGGCTGTATTTACTGACTGTGAAATACTTTTACCTAGCTTTATTACCATTGCTAATCAAAGATGTTTACAAATTGCACTATAGCCTCTATTTAAAAAAAATCACATAAATAGATGGTCAATTCAACCATGACGTAGAAATAGCTTCACTTGGCATATCCAAACAAATTCAAAATATTCTGGGACATGTTTTACATTCAGCTGAATGACCCCCAATTGAAAAATGCCTTTCCTGGAAGAATATTTTGAAGTCCTGGTAATGCTATGTAAAAAGTTCTGCTCTTGGGACAATCCGTAAAACAACTAAAGGCTTTGAACAGAGCAGAGCACAAACAGTGATGGACAGATTATCAAAAAAGATTATTCTTCAGCAGATATGTTCCTTTTAGTCTTAAAAGGACTGGAACCAGCACTTTAAATAAAGTGTTGACAAAAATACAGTTTTTCATTTACTTATTAGATTTGTATGCCACCCATCTTGCCTAGAGGTGAGATCAACAGCCAGAAGCAGAGTGATGAGAGAACATGAGTTTTTAAGTTCCCATCTGTTTTGATCAAACTTTGTATCAAGAAGTGAATTCAAGGGTTGGAATTTAGAATTCATCTAAATTTTTATTGGCTTCTACTAGGTTTCAGGGGAAAAAATAGATGAACATGGGCAGAGTGTCAAAATTGTGTAATGTGTATTGTGACATCTTGGTTTATTTTTTATTATCCTACCTTTATTATTTTTATAAAGAACTCAACACTATGAACAAACTTAATCCTCCTTTCTCTTCCTATTTTCCCCACAAAAACAACAACCCTGTGAGGTGAGCTGGGCTGAGAAAAAGTGACTGCCCCAAATGCCTTAACCACTAGAAACTGAAACCCTGCCCTTTGTCCTTCTATCATGATGTTGCACAAAAATATGGAAGGAGTGTAACTTGCATCAGTGTTGCACACAAATTGGAAAGGGGCAGAAAGTGTGTCACTGCCCCCCTCCCCAATACCAGCTGTTAATGGATGTAAATCCTTTTCCCCCCCTTTTTTTGCAACTACAGTTGCACAAGCAAAGGGTGCTCGCAGTACCTGGCCATTCCCTGGTGTCCAGCATAACAAGCAGTAATCCTTTCTTCCCACATGTCAGGGGTCATCTGATATTGACGGAGAACCTAGAAAAGTAAAGAACAAAAAAGAAAACAATGGCAAAAATATTTATTTTTCAAACCTCTAGAAGGCTGTTCATGCTGGTATGACAAACTGGAAGGGCCTGCAGAATTACATATGACTTAAAATGCTGCAGGATTAGAAGCAAACTGACTCCCATTTGCAGAAGCCTTTCAGCTTGTTGGCAACTTAATAAAAAACTCCTAACTTCGGTTTGATTTTGTCATAAATTTCCCTTTCGTGAAGAGCAATCGGGAGTCTATCTGGAAGAAGGTTAATCCAGAATAAAAACACCAAGGTCAGGTTATAAACTCATTTTGAGCTCATGACCCTGGAGAAGATATCTCGAAGGAGAATCCCCTTCATAACTAAGAACTCACATTCTCCAATAATTGCTTGAGAACTGACCGAATGTCAGAATTTTAAAATTTCCCACTCTCTAGAAAACAAAGAGGAACAATCTGTCCTAAAAGAGTGAATAGAAATCACTGGTCTTTGGGAAGAAGTTGTTTTATGAGTCATGCAAATCCGTTGCTCCCTATCTGGCTAATTCTGCTATTTTGGGTAACTGAGGATTCCTATTCATGATCAGGAAGATAGGAAAGTGTGAAAACACTTACTCTTTTTGGCAAAAGCTCTTCTGGAGCTAAGAAACCTGGTTTGTGCAGATTTGGGTCATAGTCACCATACTGTAAGGGAAAAAAGTATCAGATGAGTCAACAGGAAAAGACTGCATACAAAGAATTGACAGCATAGTATAAGATCTAAATTAACACTTTTTTAAAAGAGAGAGAAAACATTGAATCATTTGATCATAAAATAACAACTAAAAATGGCTAAAGCTCTAAAAGATTTTTACAAGTGAAATCTGAAGTGTGATTTACACCTTGTAATTCCATAGGAGCAAAAAAAAGACCCTGTCAGAAATACTTTTCCTGAGAATTTTACCTTCCTGTCCTGAGAATTTTACCTTCCTGTCCTTTAGTACTGACAAAATATGCTTGAAGTTTAACCAGCTAGTACCAAACGTACACTAGTTTACAGCTCAAGAAGAATCCAGTGCAGTGGTGGGATTCAAAAATGTTTACTACTGGTTTTGTGGGCGGGGTGGGCATGACATGGCTTGGTAGGCGTGGCTTGGTGGGCGTGGCAGGGGAAGGATACTGTAAAATCTCCATTCCCTCCCCACTCCAGGGGAACATTACTGCAAAATCCCCATGCCTTCCCGATCAACTGGGACTTGGGAGGCAGGGAATAGATGGGGGTGGGGCCAGTTAGATGTGGTATTTACCGGTTCTCCAAACCACTCAGAATTTTCACTACTGGTTCTCCAGAACTGGTCAGAACCTGCTGAATACCACCTCTGATCCAGTGCCATAACTCTTGATGGATCCCCTTTAGATTTTGTTGTCAACTCCGCCAACGCAGTAAAGCTACAATGGGTCCAGCTGTAACTTAAGCACCAATCACTAGGAAAAGAAGATCCTAATGTCCCCTTAAAGAGAGAACTACAGTTTAGTGGTATGGTTTGGTAAGCAAACTATCCAAGCTGGGCTCACACATTGTCCATAAACCTTAGTTTTTATAACAATGGCTGTTGAATAGTGCATAGGCTTTTGGATGTATTCCATACCTTGATCATTAAACCAGTTTTACAGATCATAATTCACAGGTTTCTCTAAACATTATACACTTTGGCCCCAAACCATCAGCCCTATTGAAATTGAGTCCCAAGATCCTGGGTCAGAATGGGTAACAAAGTAGGTTGCAAAGTGTGTTGTTCTTATGGGTTTTTTTTTTAATTGATCGCTGTTTAATTTTCCAGATATTTGATGATTTTTGTGTTTATAGATTCATTTCATAAACCTTCCAGAGTTAACACATTGTGACAGAGTATAAATTTCATCAATCAATCAATAAACATGTAGCGTCACTGAGTCCCACAATCTAATTCCAGTCATCTCCAAATAGCTAGTTTACTACTAGCAGTACAGTGGGACAAGTATGAAATCTCGCTACAATGGGTGCCGCCATCCTATCATAGTTATATATATTATATGCCCAAAGACATTTAGGGATAATAAAAGGCAAAATGTTCACTCATTTCATTGGATCTGCCTCAGTTCTGAACTAAAGCTGGTTTATTTCTGCCAGTAACTAGCAAGGGTTGGTAAAGCAATTCTCTGTTCAGTGCTAAGAAAGGTTGGATGAATGAAACAGTTACAGCTGCCCCCCTCCCCCTGAAGGATGATTCAGGGAAGAGGAAAGGTCAGGAAGAGACTGTTGGAAGGAAAATCCATCCGGTTCAGGTCCAAGTCGGGAATAAAATAAAATGGAGGATGATTGGGAAGAAAATGTAATGATGAACAGAACCAACAGCAGTTCTGGGTCAGCTGAACAACTAACTAGATGAGTGCCAGGATTTTATACAGGTCCCGAAATGCAGGAGGGGGAGGGTTGCAATGTCTGAAATGCCCTTAGGAAATTGTGCAAGGTAATGAGCTCTGTGTCTTCTGCTAAATGGTAGTGGGTTAATCCTAAATGGTCATGTCCTGTTCTTAGAATTTGGGTGGAGGAGAGTGTAAAATGTTTAATCCCATGCCTGGAGGTGAAGGTCTTTTGTTTCTGAATAGACTGGCCCAATCTTTCTTAATGGGCACAAAACATCTCCTGGGGGCTATTAAGAAAGGCTGGTTCTGCTTTCTGTCTTTAAGAGCATGTTTCTCCTTTAGGGAAATATAACATTCTGCCTTTTTAATATTTCCCCAAATTTTTCATTCTAGAAGTGGGGGCTTCCCACAGGACGTTATGCAGGAATTCCTCAAATGCATGCTGCAGAATTATTTTTATTTACGAAAAAGGGCGGAGTAGGGAAGAACAACTATCACCTTACAGGTAGACCCTAACTTATGACTGTGCCATAGATCATAAGTTGTGATGGTCGTATAATGCAGTGGTCCCCAACCCCCGGTCTGCGGACCGGTGCCGGGCCGTGGAGTACCTGGCACCGGGCCGCGCAGCG